GAGTGAGTTTCACATGACGTTAGGGTCTGTGCTTTGAGGCAATCATATGGACGACTGAATTGTTGTCAAGTGTTTGTCAAATAATAATCATATTTTGTATCATTGATTACAAAGTGTTTTGAATCGCTTCTCAACGCTATTCAAAGGCATTAATAATCCGTACGATATGTGGATATCAACCAAATTAGACCAAACGTGTTATATTGACCAGTGTTTCAATGAACTCATCACTGAATGCCGTCTCTCAGGTAATCTACACTCACTTACACTTTCACTCATTTCCATATTCACACCATTACCTCAACACTGACCACACCATCATATGATCATATGATCATCACCTCAATCCTCAACACCCATTACCACAACACTTATTACTGTTAATTGCAATTAACTTCAAATATATGTACAGTTAGTTATCATTGAAAGTGTGTCATAATTGCAATCATTATTATTGGCATTTAAATGATTGAAATTTAAATCAATGTTTTAGTGTTTGATAAGTAGATTGAAATGAAAGTTAGAGTAAATTTGAATTGATATTTAATTTGAGTCAACCATTGATTTATATTAAAATAATATAATATTGAAACCCATAGTAAAGGTACTGTAATAATGAATACAAATACGAAACAATTGTTTTGCTTAAAAAATATCTCTTTTGTCACTAATTGTAAAGTCATTGAGATTTACGTCAAATTTTATATATAGTCTTAACTATCATATGATCTGACATTTAAAACACAAGTCCTTCTTATAATACATGAATAATTGACTCAAAAANTCTCTTTTGTCACTAATTGTAAAGTCATTGAGATTTACGTCAAATTTTATATATAGTCTTAACTATCATATGATCTGACATTTAAAACACAAGTCCTTCTTATAATACATGAATAATTGACTCAAAAATCTAAATCATTGCCAAAATTTCACAACTATTTTATCGCCATTTCTTAAAATAAATTTCAATTTTTATAGTCTTTTGTCTAAACACAAGCATATATTGCATAGAAATAGCGATTACTATATAATAAAACACTTTAAAATACGATACAATTGATACCGCTTTCCATACACTCGCAGACACTATAAAAATGATAATTGAAATGACAATTAATATGGATATACTGTACATGACTTGACAGCTCCGGGCGCTCGGCTCTCGTACTCAATACGAAACAAATTGGAGAGACTTTCAAAGGAGGAGAGAAAAGTGATAGTGAGTCGTGTGAAGGAAGGCTGTACTCCGCTGTTCGTGTCGTGCAAGAAGGGAAACGTGGAAATTGTCGACTATTTGATACAAGAATGTCATTCGGATGTCGAACAGAAGGGCGTCTATGAGGTGCCCGACGACCGATCCATTCATTACGTGACGCCCTTATGGTGTGCTTCAGTGGCGGGGAAATTGGCTGTCGTTAAATGTCTGGTCAAACACGGCGCTAATGTTAACAGTGTTTCCGGTTAGACATTGACATTGATTTGGGGTTAATATCTGAGATTTGATTTGGTTTTTGTATTCGCGAACGCAGACACTGGCAGTACTCCCGTGCGTTCGGCCTGTTTTATGACACATCTGGATATTGTGACATATCTGGTGGAGAACGGGGCCGACATCTTGAAGCCCAACTATAACGGCGGCACGTGTCTCATCAACTCTGTCCAAAGCGTACCTCTTTGTGAATTCCTCCTAAAACATGGCGCAGACGTCAACGCACAGGACATACAGTTTAAGACAGCTCTTCATTACGCCATTCAAGAACATAGATTTGAAACGACAAAATTGCTTCTCGATAGCGGCGCCGGTATGTCTCACAGCTGTCTCTCATTTGCAATGTATTGAACCATAGGTTTTCCATTAAGATTAGATTGTCCTCTAAAGCAAACATAATATGAGTTACTTTTTAAATATTTGAAACACAATTGATTACAATTTTCAGGAAGTGAATGAATCTTGTGATAAAGTTTTTGTTTACTTTTCCTATCAATTGAAAGTTTATATTAAATTTATAACTTTTATTTTCATGTATGACATGTAAAGTACAGTATTTGCTAAATACAAATCAGCTTATTTTATTATCTTATAAAAGCTGATATTTAATGGTATTTCCCATTTAATATCTTCCAGAATAAGCCTAAAGAGTAGTAAACTTTGCCGAAAATACGAACAAATATACCGTATTACGCCGCATATAGTTGCATGCACTTATATGTGAATTTCACAGATTTTGCATGTCACCAAAACTACCGCACTTATATCCGGATAAAAGTGCATGCGGCGCAATACGGTAATTGTTTTACAATATTTAATGTATTAATGGCATGTGATTTGTAGTTAAAGACTCTTTAAATGAAAGTAAAAGAAGCACTAAATTGAAGAAAAATAGTAATTAATGTTTTGTATTCTGTGATTACTATCATTATTACGGATTTGTGATAACATATCCAAATAACAAACACATGACTAATGATAAGTTTGTTATGAAATAGTAATAAATACTTTAATATTTGAATGTTTAGTACAGTATTGAGAAACTAATTGAATGTATTGACCAATAGATGCGATGATAAGGAGCCGATACGGTGACGACGCTTTGCAGACGGCGTGTCTGAAGGGCGCGACTCAGATATTTGAGTATTTAATCAAACATTTGAATTACTGTCGAAGTCGTGTCGCGGAAGCGCACGAACTGATGGGTTCAACATTTCTGGACGAACACTACGACCTTCAGGCGGCGCTTCACAACTGGAGGACAGCCGTCACCATAAGACTGGAGGATCAAAGTCTTGTCAAACCAAACAATGTGTTGCCAAAAGCCGCGTATCTCAATGCCCTTGAATTCCAGTGCACCGAACAATTGGACAATTTAGCCATGGATTTGGACTCAATGCGAATCCAGTCTTTGATCATTTGTGAACGCATTTTAGGCCCACTTCATAAGGATGTCATCTTTCGCCTCATGTTTAGAGGTATGCATATATGAAATGACCACTAAATGGTTGGCATCCATTCAATGCCCTCATCTTTTAGAACACATTAAATAACACTAATTCTATGTTTTACACTAGAATTGTGCACTCATTTAATCTACTAAATAATTATTCCAAAAATATAGCATAATTTTAATAAATATAAATTCAACTTTGAAATAATTAAACGAGGTTTGCACACAAATTGCATGATTTGACTATAATTCAAGGATGGCTAAAAATCTCTTTAGACAGTCATATAGTGTTTAAGTAGTAATTATTATGTGATTATAATAATGCACAAGATTAGCGTTCACTATGAATGATATATTTTAAAAATTACCTTGGTTTATTAACTTGACAAATTATATTATTTTTAATCAGGAAAACTATTCTTACGATAGCCTCCAATGTTAGCGATAGACCCCAATGTTAAAACTCATTCATAGTATTTGATAGCATTTAGTATAAAAATCACAAAAATGAACGTTTTTAATAAGTTGAAATACATTTTAAGTTTAATGTCATAAATGAGTTTTAACGTTGGAGTCTATCGCTATGAGTAGTTTTCCTCATTAAAAATCATATACCGGTATTCTTTTATTTGATAATTATATGTAAAATTATTTTACTAAAATAGCATTAAAACAGATTAGAAATTGAATGAAAAGTTTAATATATTATACAATTTGTGTCACTATTTTAGGCGCCGCTTATGCCGATGGTCTTCAATATCAAAGATGTGTAAGAATTAGATTCAAACTGAAATATGTTTATCAATGATATAGAATGTGTAATAATGTATTGACCATTAATCAGATCGATCTCTGGCGCTATGCTTTGGATTTGAGAATACAAAAGGATAGTCTTCTTCACAGCGAGACATGTTTCGCAGCTCAAGCTCTGGTAGTTTTGCATCGAATCAATATCTAATTATTTTCATTTATCTCATATTTGATTGCATTTAAGGTCCGATTATATCTCGATTTATACGAGAAGTTCTCAAATGGTGTCCTCCGAGAAGAGTTGAAATACGACGACGTCTTCCAAACGGTTAAGCTATTGATCGAACAGTTTCCTAATGCCATGAAATTGTTGAAAGTTAGGCCAGTGTTTAAGCGACAACAGGACAACTTTGATAAGATTCTTAAGGTTCAACATTGATTGACTCAAAGCATCAAAACTCTATATTTCTAATGTTTTTAATATGCTTTCAGGTATTAACTCATCTCTTCTATGTATTAAATGTAATCCAAAAAACATCGAAACAAACGGAAGAAACCAAAAGTTTGATTAACGCAATCAATGCAATGAATGCCAGGAACTCATTCGGGGATACATTACTCCATTTGGTGGTCTCGAAGACGAATACAATGAAGTCGAATACGTTCATTGAAGACCCGCATACTGTCATATTTCCCGACTCACGTGTTTGTCAGTTGTTATTAGAGTGCGATTTCAACGTAGAATCGGTGAATAATATCGGAGCGACTCCTCTGCACATCGCGTGCACTCGAAATAACTTCAATCCTGAGGTCGTCAACCATTTGTTGCGATTTGGAGGACACATCGATCGTCGCAGCGCTAATGGCAATCAACCGCACAAATTGCTCACTTCCATCGCCGAATCCAATGTGAATCCATTGAAATACATTTCACTCAAGTGTTTGGCCGCGCGTAAGATTGTTGATCAACAGATCCCATACATCGGACAAATACCCGTTTCTTTGGAGCAATTTATTCGAATTCATTAATAATTTACTTTTTAACGATTTTTAGTTTTGAAGATTTGCTCACAATTTGATCGTATCTTCAAATATATAAAAATGAAATTATGATTAAAATAATGCATAAAACCAATGCATTCTTCACAGCCATTAGTTTATATAATATATAACTTTATTTTTGCCTCAATCTTTCATTTCTTATTCATTATAATATATTTTTTATTATTTCATTATTTAAATTTTTGAAATTTAGTTTCTCAATCATTTTGTTGTAACCAATCATTACTATTATATTATTCTTATTTTAAAATAAAAGAATAATTCATTTATAGTTACCATGTATTATAATAATTAATTTGTGATAAATTGTGTTTATTTTATTCTCGTTTTTGATCTGATAAACCCCTCAAATAAACATACAATCAATTATGCAATCTTAACGTCTCAGACATTTGTGTTTAAGCTTTAAGTTATTGTTTTTCTAATCATTTAATCAAATCTCTTAAGAATAAATATAGACTTTAATGATCATTGTTTGGTTCACTTTAATCACTCGATTCTATCATTCAACACAATAGCAATCATTGACTTGTGAGTACATTTGTACTTACTGTACTATATTTGCTTTTTCAAAATAACCATGGTCCTAACCAAGCTTAGGACATTTTCTCAAAACGAACCAAAATTATCAAATCTTATCTTTGAGTGCATTTGCCCTCATTTTTGAGAGAAATTCACAACCGTTTGGTCTTAACGTAATGTAACAGTAATGACAGTAGTTATGAATTAAACAAGTATTATTCAATACATGCAAAATTCACAACAATTTAAAATATTTTGAGAAAATGTTGATAAAAGAAGTGTTAGCTTATGAGTTAGTTGACAAAACTGTGGTCTCTCAACATCAGTAGTAAATGTGTTAATATGTTTAACAATCAATTTATAATTTAATAGCAAATAGAGTATTGTTTGATATGCTAAATAAGTTTTATATAAATTCTTTATATAACTTTTTAAAAGTTTGTTAACATATTGTTTTGAGACATAAGTTATGTCACATAACTGTGAACTTGTTTTAATTAAAAAGTAGATCACATCTCATCCCAAATGATCCTTTTGTGTCCAATACATGAAAGCAGCAAAATTTGGAGATTTGGTATAATTTATATTTAATAGAAGATCATTGTTTAAATTTTAAACTTTAAAAGTGTTCATTTGTATGAAATTATAGTGTATTATAAACTGATAAAATCTAAAACTCTTGACTGGTGTGCAACTCATGTATGCAATTATAATATGGTATGGAATAGTATTACACGAAGAACTGATCTCAAGATATAGGACCCTATTATGGCTTAAATGGTCACAAATAGAGGCCAAACATGAAATTTGAGAATATATAATATACTTCAAACTTGTATAAACTTTAAAATATGTTTACTATTTGTTATTTCACTAATTGTTGTAAATTCAATGCAATGCAAAGCATGAGGAGAGAGGCAACGAATGAACGATCGCCAAAATTTAAAGGGCCATAGTTTAGGGCTAGAGTTATGGCTAGGGTTGTGGCAATGCCTGGTATGTCTGTAGTAGTGGTTGTAGTGATTGCAATGTAGTGATGAGCTGTTGTGAGTATTGATGGCACAGTTGTACTCCATCTGCAGCGGTGGATGTGAATGAAAAGTGGTTAGGATTGACACTCCCTTTAATGTGTGATGTCGTCACACGAGTTGTAGACGAGAGTAATAGTATTGAAATACAGTGTAGTATTGCATACACTGTATGCTGGCGTAGAGTAGTGTGACATATGGTGTGTAAGCCATTGAAGAGTACAGTGCAGTCATGAATGCGGTATTCAGTGTTTGGATGTGTGTTATGTGTGTTCAGTGAGAGTGAGACGACTTTGCTATCAGTTTATGTCTGCAATCAATGCCTTCAATGCTATCAATGCTTCGACACATTAACCGTAAAAGTGATTCAATTTGTGTCTCATTTACCACAAGATTAACACAAATTGTGTCCACATTTTGGATACCAATTCATACCAAACAATAGCCAACAATAATGGGTAAGCGTTTGATTGATTCAAACAACACATCATGTCTTCAATTCACTCCCATTTATGTGCCATTTATTTATGCCATAACTTTGATTGCATTCATAAATAATATTAATTGTAATTCATATACAAATGTAATGATAGACTCAATGATTGGTTTAATTGTCAACTATTTTGGATATGATTTTGAGCGCTAATTGAAAGCAATTGATAGCAAATAATAGTTTGCATATATTTACTGAATTACAAGTAAATGATCGTAAGTTTTGGTTTCAGTGATCGATAAGTGATTAACAATCTGTTAACTAATGAAACACTTGTTTATCTCACAAATTGTCATCAAATGTATTATATATGTCGAGTGTTTGCAGACATAATTCAAACCATTGAAACCATTTCAAGGACTAAATCATAAGATTTTATGCAAACTTTGGTGTTATTTGATTGAATATTTGCAATAAATGTACTCATAATTGATGCCATCATTGAAACCAATGAGCATTCATGGCATACAATGTTTTCAATTTATGCATTAATTGAAACAATAGTTTGGATATAAATATTGCATGAATTGATTGAATGACATAATGATAGCATATATAAGACATGTATCACTCCTACATCCCATTACATCCCATTCCCATCCCATATATAGACTCCTTATGTCAGACACTAATTGTTTGCATTCAATTGATTGACATTTTAAACAAAAAGCGGAAACCATTTCTCATTTAATTAACTTCTAAAAAGTCCTTTTAAAACATATTTATTTGTCGTCTAAATAATCAAAATCTAAACCGCTTTAAAAGCCATTGTTATTATAGTATTATTTTGATTCACATCCTAACCAGGAATGGACTCATCCTTTGGGGGAACACATAGGGGTATAACTGACCAGACTTTGGGTGAGGGCTTCGCTCACAGCATAACTATTGCCAATCAATTGATATTTATTGAAAAAAGTGTCGCATTTCTACCCAAATATAATACAATACATAATAATATCATATTTTTAATTATTTCCTTATCTTTCAAAGAATATGTTGTGTTTTATTAAATAATAGCAAAAGTTATTCATTTCCTGTATTCATAGCTTAAGGCAATTAATTTTTATTAAAACTTATTATAGAATCGTTGAGTCATTAATAAATTATTTGCCAAATATTTAGGTTTTTCTCGATATTCACATCACTATCACTATTAACTTAAAATGTTAGTTATACTGACATCCAATTCAACCATACATTCAGTTTGAACACAAAAATACAACAATTAAGCAAATTTGAGTCACAATAACTCTGAATGACAGACCAATTCATGCATTCATTACTTTACAAAATAGTGCTTTCATTCATTGAGAGACACATTAATTCATGGAAAATAACACAAAAATACAACAATTAAGCAAATTTGAGTCACAATAACTCTGAATGACAGACCAATTCATGCATTCATTACTTTACAAAATAGTGCTTTCATTCATTGAGAGACACATTAATTCATGGAAAACTATTTTTGAGACCTCAATAAACGGACAAAACATTCACTCATTTATTATTACAAGTATTTGAATATTTATTTATGTATTTAAAAGATGAATGGGTGTCGAGTGTCTGTGCCTTACATTGCGTTCATTTATTGATATAACCATTAATTTATAACTTTATATTTATTACACTGTAAACAGACAGCGAAATGTGAATTGAAATTATTAGTGAAATTCTTGTATCATTTAATGTGTAAAACTCGGGAATTACTGAATTGTGCACTGATTTGATTCTCAGTCACAGCCAACATATATAACATGTATTATATAATAATCACAAAAATATAATACAGTCAACTGTTTTATATGGCATTATTGTGTTTTGTGTCCCATTTAGAGACAAATACTATAGTATTCTGTGACTGAGAATATAGTTGTCGCTAATTTTGAGAGCTTTTCAATAATGTTAACATTTTTGGTTCGCTTTAAAATACTAGTCAAACAAAACGAATGTTTTATTTGTAATGTTGTATCGATGGGTGAATTTGTTGACTCCAGTTATGATTCCCTATTTGTAAGATGTCTTCTGAGTTGTCTGTCATTAGTCTAACTGTTTATGAATGTGAATATGGAGAATATGGTAAGCATTATCTCACATCACTTTTACATAGATTTATTCGCCTCTTGTTATTAATGGTTTAACAATAGCTGTAAGACAAATGAAAATAAACAACAGCTCATCAAATACTTACAAAGTTTATAATTAACTTCATATTAGAGTGAAGTAAAGTATTTAATAATGCAGTTAATTATTCACTGTATTAACGATAGCCCAGTCCTGTTGCTCTCCTGAGCCACGAAATCTTAGTTTTGAATTCCTCTCAAATGTGAATATCCTTTGAATGCTTTGCTATTTTAAGAATTGAGTGCCTTTTCCTCTTCATATCAAATATTATAGATGAGACATGACTTCCAGTGCTCTTCAATATGAGTTCTTTAAGCTATTCCAGGGGTTGATTGTGGGCTCAGACGAGGAGTGACTCTTTTTACAATTATTGTTCACTAACTTTGAATATATGCACAAAACGATCATCTTTTCATTCTCACTGATTATTGGATTAAATTATTCTTTGTTAACAATATTGAGGCGTTTTCTGGAATAACAACTTCGAAATGATTGATGCGATAAACCATTTATTAAAATAAAATTTATAATTTTTATAAATTTAAGTATAAGTTGTAAATGAAGAGCCGGAAAAGAGCGTACAATTTATACCCTTTTAATGCCATACAAGAGTCTTCTGCAACATTGCATGTAAAATGCA